TTCTGAAATTATAGTCTGCCCTAAATGGGATCAGGCCTGTCGCTGTCGCAAAGAGCGAAGAGGTTGAGGAGAGAGCTGAATAGCTAGCCGCAGAAGTGGCGCGAAACCCTCTCGACGCGGATTCCCGCCATGCCAATTTTGGCTTGGCTAGAATTGGGGCAAACTGTATCATGCTACCAAAAATCGAGAAATGACTCGTTTGCAACGCACAAATGACTATATGGCAGGAAAGTTGGTGTGTACAATCTGTGCCAACTACGTGCTTTCTTTTTCATGACTGCTGCGCACCCGCAGCGCGTGAGCAGCGTGCGGCAATCTCGAATAGATGTGGCAAGTTTGAACGCTCGAGCGGTACGCCCGCAAGCGCTCCAGCGCCGCGCTTGAGCTCATTGGAATGAGGGCCGATTGTTGACACGATGTCTAAACGCGCAAGGACTGAGGAATAAAGTACGAAAATTCGTGAAAAACTTACGTGAATAATGTACCCAACTTTTTTTGCAGCTTAGGTGGGCAATTGCCTACCTAATGCCCACCTAAATGGGCAAATATCCGCCTTATTTAAAAGCTCAAATTTTCTACATAAATCTGTTCTACACTTGGAATTCTCTATATAGTGACATTCTTAACCCACTGACGACGACGCCTAATTTTGCGGGGCTGCGCTGTGGGACGACACGATTTTGCACAACACTTTCGGTGCGGAAAGGTTTTGTGGTTATTTACGAAGTGCAAGGTTGTTTTGTAAACAACTATGAACATTTTCTTGAACGACGGACCTTGCAGGTCCCAGGAGTGCAAAAAGTGCGGGGGCAAAGAAGCAAAATTTGAGTGCGCCATGTTAAGTGAGAGGAAAGTTATTGAATCAGATGCAAAACTTAGTTTCTAACCAAATATTGCTCGGGAACTAGGGCTTATGGAAGTTTGGTTATATGTGTATAATTACATGAGCGAAAACAGCTTAGCTTCGTTTTTGTATAAACTACAGGGAGGGACAGTACATGTGTCTGATGCGGTGTGCAATTTGTGTGAACTAGGGAGATTCGCAGGAACTTTTTAACGAAGGTCTGAATTTTTCCCAGCTTTTTGAGCCTTCATTACGACTCCAATTTCGGATGTAAACTTACAGGGGTCGAAGTTGGTGCGAACTATTGCACGACATCTTGTAGAGCTTATGTTGCTCCATCGATGCTACTTTGGAGCCCTTCAAAAATATGAAGTCAACAACTTATCACCGTCCGAATCCAAAGTGTAACAAGCCATGTTACAATCTACCCTTATTTCACGGGTATAAAACGCCTTTTTTCGATATTTTAAGCGAGCCGCTCAGCCGCTTTGCTGTGTTTTGAAAAACGAAACTTATGTTGTACGATATTTTCAAGCCAGATCCTCCGCCGTCTGGTTCTCTGGTCGCTAGGCGTTCTCCCCGCTCCATATCCGCGTCAGCGTTCGCCCCGTGGAAATCAAGAGTAGGCCTAATAAGTCTGTTTTTTAGGAGAAAAATTCAATTACCAAATGCAAGAAGAGATGAATTGAACCCTGTTCATCGGATCCCTACGGCGCCGGTGGTAGCAAAGAAACGATGTCAGGATCCTCACGGCGCCTGACGGAGAAAAACGACTCGTTTGCCTGAAGGACATGTCATGAAGACTGCCTCATGCTCCGCATCTACAACGCCAGGACGGCTCTACAAACGCCGACCTCCACGCTCTTGTCGACGCTGCAGAACACATCAGGTACCACATCATTGTTCTGTAAGAAACGAAGCCCAGGAGGAAGGACGTGCGACAGATGAGTGATGGGACCTTCATCATTCATGGTGAGAAGGTTCAATCACGGAACTTGGAGGCAACTGCTTTGTCGTTTACCCATCTATCGTCCATCTTTTCAAGTCGCATGGGATTCTGTCACCTCGCTATCGCGAAAAACTTCTACATCAACCTCTTCGGCTCATCAACACACGTGTCAATGCCCGTTGTTCCCACTGGAGAAGTACCACCACGAATTCTACCTGCTGAATGCGCACAGTGATTCAGACCATGAAGACGTCCACGGCTCCAAGACCAAACCTTTCGGCCGTATTTCTGCGAGCCGAAGGACAACGTCTACACGAGATTCTCGCGTTGCACCTGACAATTTAACTTTAAAAGGAAAGATTCCCGACCAATGGAGAACTACAAGAACCATCCTTTTCTTCAAGAAGGGTGAATGGAGGATCTACGGGTACTACCATCAATATGCTTGCTGAGTGTGCTGTACAAATTTTTCACGAAGATATCCTCACTCGCATATTGTAAGAGATCCTGTTATGTGATATGCGTAGCTATGATTCATCTGTTCAGGGCGTGGCCAGACAGTTCGCCGCATCGGGGAGTCTTCCTCTCTGGCAGGCCGCCGGACGGTCGTATCCGACTTCATCACCTTCTTCCGCCGCTGCGGACCCTCCTCGTATCCACCGCCAACCCACGTTGTAGATCACCATTGAACTCATCCTCGTTGTATTGTTTGTTACCCTTCTATCCGCCTTACCGATAAACCTAGTATTCGATCCTGTATTCGTTACTAGTATAATAGCCGCTTCCACGGCGCAACGCTTACTGGTAGCAGCGAGTTCCCGCCACTGGGAGAAGGTGAGTCTCTCTTATTCGGACCTGATGGTCCCCCTGCCAGTAGTCTCATGTTTCCGGAAATTCGTTTCCAATGTTTTTTTTACGTTCACCGGGAAGACTTGTAGGTTTTAGTCCGACCCTATTGGGCCGTGAGCCAGAGCGGGCGATATCGCTCTAGGTCGCAAGACCGAAAAAAAAACAAAAAAAACAGTACTTTCGAAAAAGGACATTCGTTTGGTTTCTGTCTTTGCTTTTTCGCGAGACTCTGACCAGGTCTCGCGAGCCTTTTATTCGTACTGTTTCGAATACGTTTTTCCTTTTTCGTACATTTTCATAGTGAATAGATAGTGATAGAACGCCATCAGTAGTTTAGTTCCTGAAGTGATGTTGAGCCCAGCAGGGCCGGCAGTGAAGTGATTGATGAAAAGTGCATTCCCCTGCAGGGATAGTTGAGGTGCGGACCTTTTGTATTGTTCAGTAAAGCGATTTTCAGGTGTTTGGGGCTCCGACGTTCGCCCAATGAAGTAAGTGTAGCGCAGTGACGCGCAGCTGGGCAGGTAAGTGAAATGATGTATTTTGTCCGCACGTAGTTCCAGCAGTTTTATGCTGGGTAGCCCTATTTTACAAGCGCGCATAGTTTAACTTGAGCTCCTTAGTTTTGTTGCGCAACATACTAATGATCGATTGCTTTCAGCTTTGTAAGGGTACCATTGGCCGTCGGGCCGCCAGATGTGCACACTGGATGGCGCTAAGCAGAACTGTTTGTAATCCACTAATTTCGACTCATACTTTTGGCGCTTATGGTATATTTATTTATCCGGCATATAGTTCTCTGTTTATCCGTCTCCTCCAGCGCCAGGTACGTTTTTATTAGTTGGTATTGTGAGCCTTAGAATAATGAAAAGTACTTCCCAATTTTCCGACCTAACTTTTTATCACTGAGTTCTTGATACGCGTGTTCGCGTCCCCACCCGTATTCTCCTTCTACATGTATATGCATGTATGGACATCCGTTAGTGGAAGTGCTCACTCTTAATCTAGCATTCACTTTGCTCTTTTCACATTTTTCCTTTTTTGCATTTCGCCTTGAAACTACCGCAGCTGCTCAGCCGCTGACTTCTTTTGGCAACGCGTTTTTGCGGGTCGTCCATGTCACAGCTGCAGGATTGCTCGTTGTAACAGGGATAATGTCTGGTTTCATTTACGTACTACATTTCTTCTTGCTTAGTCAAACTTTTTGCTAAGTTTGAAATATCGCAGGTGTTCAGCGTTGACTTCTTTTGCCACCTAAGCTTTTTATTAGATTAGCCTTGTCACAGCTGCAAATCTGGCAATCCTTTTTGGAGACACCTGGGCATCCGTTAACTGCTGAACTCCCTCCCCTTTTGCGGCAGTCACTTCACCTGCGCTGATCGGGGCGATCGGTAGCTCATTCAATCGCTCCTAGTCCCCTCAGGCCTTCGTTGAGACTTCAGTGCTGGCACTAACACTCATCCAGCCATACCCTTCTCCTACTCTCAATTCATCCGCGTATTGCGTCTTTCTTCTTCGAATCCTCAGGCATTTGTAAGCTAGGATTATCTTTCATATGCATTTCCTAGCTCATTCCCTGATTGATTTTAACCTCGTACTGAAGGCGCGACTCATGACTCATCTTTTGTCTTTGCGAGGAACGCGCTCCATGCGCCGCGCAGCGACCTGCGAGACTCATCGGAATTTTTCGCAGATACGCATAATCAGGAATTCAATCTTCTCACTGCAACGAGAAAACATTTGAAACAAAACAAGAATGCATTATAAGCTTTTCTCATGCTCGGCTTCGTATGCTGATGGGAATCAAGACTGCGACGCTAAGACATGAGAAGCGCGAAAGTTTTGTTTTGAGAGTCGTTCGAAACATGCCTTATCTTTCCTCATGCTATATAAGATAATCATCCACGCATTTCTCAGTTTTCTTGTAACTTACTTTGGCTGCTTGATCGCTTCTCACACGCTGTTTGCTATCGGATTATTTGCTTTCATTATTCGTACGCCTTCTTGAGAGCATACTTGTTTCAGTGGTTCATGAGCCCGATAACCCGATCCCAAGCGCACCTGGAGCAATCCGGTCAGGCGGATAGCAGCCTGCCCCCCGCCCCCGAGAATCTGTTGGCGCCTTTGTCCACAGCGCTGTCTACTTTGGAAGATTCTGCGACAGTCCATGGACGTGACGCCAAAGAACTGAAGGACGCAACAACGGAAGCCCTGCTGAATGCATGGCGTGATGCGAAGCGCTCAACTTCCTTGCTAGCCGAACAGGTAAATCAAGGTAACTCTCACTTGCTTCAAGGAATCAACGAGTCGTTCGCAGCCGTAGGCTCACGCATTGAGCAGCTTCCGTTAGTTGCAACATTTTGCCCTGATGGGCTCCCTACCCGTATTCTCCCGTTCAGCGGCGTCTCGCCGTCACAATCATTTGCATTGTGGCTGCGTCGCCTTGAAGACGAAATGCGCTTGCGTAAGATAGTAACATCTCAGGATAAGGCTAATTACCTTATCGCTCATTTAGAGTCGGTGGCGCGCGAACGAGTTGAGACGCTCACTTCAGAAGCAAAGATCGACTACGACGCTATTGTCACTCACCTCCGCGGACACTACGAAGGGCCGAAGCAGATGGCCGACGCGAGACAAGCGCTTTCTTCCTGCAAGCAGGAGCCAGGTGAGTCTTGTTCGGCGTTTGCGTTCAGGCTGTTGAACCTGCTTCGCACCGCCACAGGTAAGGATCCCAATCTTCAAGGTGATCTTTTTCTCCACGAGTTTCTTGCACGTTTACTCCCCGACCTCCGTTTCCATGTCAGGTTTGCGAATCTGGCTACTTTCGAAGAGGCCCTCGCTGAGGCTGAACGTATCGAAAACCTCCTCGCCGAAGCTGCGGCGGATCGCCTCATCCACCCTTCGCACGCGTCCGCTCCGGTAGCCGTAAGTTCTATTCCAGCTTCTGATATACCTTCCAGGCCACGCCAGGACTATCGTGAACGCTCCTCGTCGCTCCCTCGTTCCCCGGATGTTAACCGTAAGCGTAATTACTCCAACTTTAATTCCCGTCGCCTCTTTAGGTAAACCCTTTTTTTATTTTTCGTTACAGCGTCGTGTTCGGCGCCTAGACCAGTAGACTCCAACGATCTTTCTAAAGATCAGCGCGATCCACGCATACCACCTTTCTTTTCAGCCAAACCGCCCGACATGGTCAAGGAACATCCCGGTACCGCCACAATCACATCCTCCCAAAGCGGCCCCGGTGGGCAAGAACCCGCCTCCTCCTCAGGTTGGTTTTACAGCGTCGTGCTCGGCGCCTGTGCCAGTAGATTCCTTTAATACCCTCGATGGTTTCTAAGGCCATGTCCAACCATCCCTCTTTTAGTGAATCCACCTGACGTGGACATGGAGCGAGGCTCCTCATTGCTTTCGGAACCTGTGGAGGGCGCTGAACAACAATCAATCCCACTCACGCACTTATCTCTTGGCTCGGAGCCTATGGAATTAGAGACCCCACCTACATCACCGCCGTCCACCAGGTTAGTCGCGCCGGTTTCCTCTTCCTTTTCTTTTCTTTCCTTTTCCTTTTCCTTGTTTTATTCGGTTCATACACTTCATTAGTTTTACATGCACTTTGCTTTCTTTCCTTGGGTTAGCCTTTTGCTTCAGCCAGGCGCCGCATTCATCTCAGGCCCCCAGGAGGGACCCCTCGCCCGCCGCAGCCCCTATCCGCCTCCCTACTTGGCAACCCGTACCGGTCCGTCGTCCCTATCGCCAGATCCCGCAACCCCCGCCCGAGACTCCCCCCGGATTCACCCACCCGCTCATTCACAGTCATCCGTGGGCCCATCTCGTTCGACCCCGCCGGTTGCATTTCGCGTCCCTCACGGACAACGACGTCACCAACACCATGCCGGTCGAAGACTATCGCCACATCCCTCAGTCAGGCTATCTGGGATATAAGTTCACCAAATGGCTGTTTCCCTTTGTGAATCCCGAGCGCAACAACGAACGGATCCCTGTCATCGAGCTTCAAACTCTAGAGGCTGCCGTTCACTTCCGTTGGGACGCCATCCGCATTAGGGACCAGCTTTTAGACGGCACTTATACCCCCACGGAGAATCAACTGCCTCCGTCACCTCCCGGCAAGAACCCCACCCTCATACGCCCTCCCGTTGCAGTTCAAGGACGCCGTCCAGTCCTCTACCAAGTGGTGGCAACCAATCGCGGTCAAGGCCTTGTCTTAGAAACGAAGGACTTCTTGGTTCCAGGCCCGGACCTACCTGAGTTGCATTGCATTTGCCTTGACCAGTTCGCAACCAATATCCAATCGAACACCCGGGGCTTCGACAAAACATTTGTCTCCGTTAAGGACCTGGTATGGATCTGGACCATTGAGCCCACCCCTCAAGCCCTCATGGATCCTCAACGGATACTGGAGCGTGCTCGCTCCCCTCGCTCGTATACTCTTGACAACGACGCGGCTTTCTTTTTCCGCGCGGCCACGTTCGCCTTTGTGACCCCGGAGACCTGGTCACACAACGTTCTTGGCCATGTTCTGCGAGTCCTTACTAAAGGTGGAAGACCGTTCAAATTCTCCGCAGCGTTCGCCGACGCCCCCGACGCAGTGATGATAACTCAAGCACTCACCGATTTCCCGATCACACACATTACTGATGACGAGATGCTTCTCGCGGAAGCTCGGTACAACTCATCGTCGGCCATCCGTTTCTCGGAACCAGCGGCCTCGGTAGAAGCACGTAAACTCCTATGTAACATGATACGATACACAGTCCCTTGTCACCCCAGGGAAGGAATCCTCCCGCTAATGGTCCACAAGTTGAACACCTTCGACCGCGCATGGCTTCAGGATCGCGAAGGCCCTTTCCGTAACTACCGACTTGACCCCCGCGAAGCACGAATCCGTATGCTGCAGTTGTTCAACGCCGCAGCCTCTGCTCTGGCCGCCGTGAAGACCGACGCCGACGACCGACAAGTCCACTGGATTGAACCCGTTGTCCCTTCCCTCAGGCTATACCCACTACAGATCCACTTCACCATCCCCAACATGATTTCCGAACGCGGATGGGAAAGAGGTCGCCCTGTAGAGTTGTGGCTCGAGGAGTCTCACCACACCTTCAACGTCAAGGTTCACCAGGTCACATTTGACACCGAAGCACGGCAACTCCGCATCACTGTCATCGCTCACCCGTGGTCCCACAAAAGCCTGACGGAAGCCGCTGAACGATGGGGAAGACCCCTCGGCACTGAACTTTTCCTGGATGGTGCGGTACGCCTCGGCCCAGTCCCAACCACCATCGAGCCCGCCTACGAAGCTATCGCAAGGATGAATATCTTCGAGAACATCCGCGACGGAACGCCGGCGAACACGGCAGTTACAAGGATTTATGCGCACGAACCTCCGATCACGGAAGCCGACCATCGTACCAGAGTTCACCCCCTGCCCGACGCAGAGGCAACCGTACTATTCCGCAACGCCCGCATCGTTCTTTCCTCGGATCAGCGCCGCGCAGTAGAACTCGGTTGCTCCGATTATTCCATCGCGGCCATCCAAGCCGCATTCGGAACCGGCAAGACACTAGTTGGAGCAGTGATCGCTTCACGACTCGTTTCCTCTTCGAATCGCAAAATTGTCGTCACAGCTTCCACCAACGCAGCGGTTTCGCAGTTCGCTCAGACGCTCATGGGCTTGGAATCGACCAAAGGCCTTAACCTCCTCCGCTACGTCTCAGAGACAGCAGCCTCCGACGACCCTGTACCCCTCCGTGTGGACTTAAACGAAGTGCTAAAGTCCCTGGGTGATGATTTCGCCCCTCTACTCAGTAGACGCGATAAGGACATTTGCCGACAATTCAAGACCGGCCTGGTCAACCAAGAACTCTCTGAAGACCAACGGGACGAATACATCCTGGCCGAGCAGGAAGTGTCTGACACTATCGAGCACATGATCAAGATCATGTTCAAGGTGCGATTCCCGCACATCTTGTGCATCACCACATCATCGCTGCTCTACACCGCAGGTCCCAGAGGCATCTTCGAGACGTACGCTCCGCGCTACGACACCGTGATCGCAGACGAGACGTCACAGATACCCGAACCGGTGCTCATTGCCATGATGAACAGGCTCCCGCAGGCGCGGCACGTGTGCATAGGAGATATCCATCAACTGGAACCCCATACCCGCTGTCCCCGAAACTCCAACCCAGCAAAGTTTGGCGCCAAGAGCACGATGGACGTACTCATGTCCTCACCCGCGGTCCCGGTAGCCTCATTGGTTACCACATTCAGATCTCATCCGTTACTCAACGGACTACCCAATGATCTCATTTATGGAGGAACGTTGCAGAGTGGTGCGCGCGCCGAGGACAGGTCGATGCTTTTGGATGTCATCGCAGTACCCGATGGTCAAACGCCCTGTCTTTTCATTAATGTCGAGGGCAACGCGGAGCGCGCGGCCAGTAGGTCGTACTTCAACGACGCAGAAGCAGAAGTGTGCCGCAACATCGCCGACCGACTACTAGCCCGCCGTATCCGGCCTCAGTCGCTATGCATACTCTGTTTCTATAAGGAACAGTTGCGCCGGATGGACACCTACGCCCGCCATGCCCACATCGAACTTGCCACGGTGGATTCGATTCAGGGGCGCGAAAAGGACATAGTTGTCCTGCTTACCACCAGGACCGACATCGATCCCAATATGCCCGCGGAGTTCCTCGATAACCGTAAGCGACTCAACGTCGCCTTGACCAGAGCGCGGCATGGGTTATTCCTCCTGGGGCACGTCCCTTCACTACACGCAATTCCGTCATGGGCGCAGATCATCCGCTGGGCGGAACAACGACAAGCCGTGGTCCCCGCCGCCGATTTGGGCAGGTTACTGCCAGCTGCATGACGGTAGGATCTTTCCGTTTCATTATGCACCCCCCGCATGATTTTTTTGGTTCTCACCTCTTTATTTCAGTCCGAGGACGGACTTGTAGGAAAATGGGGGAGGTGTAAGAGATCCTGTTATGTGATATGCGTAGCTATGATTCATCTGTTCAGGGCGTGGCCAGACAGTTCGCCGCATCGGGGAGTCTTCCTCTCTGGCAGGCCGCCGGACGGTCGTATCCGACTTCATCACCTTCTTCCGCCGCTGCGGACCCTCCTCGTATCCACCGCCAACCCACGTTGTAGATCACCATTGAACTCATCCTCGTTGTATTGTTTGTTACTCTTCTATCCGCCTTACCGATAAACCTAGTATTCGATCCTGTATTCGTTACTAGTATAATAGCCGCTTCCACGGCGCAACGCTTACTATATCTATAACACTGGATGAAGCCCAACCACATGAACAAGCTGGATTTCGCAAAGGATTCAGCTGCATGGACCACATCCAGACGGTTTCGCGGGTCATGGAATTCTGCCGAGAGTACCGAACGCCTCTCGTCCTGACCTTCGTCGACTACGAGAAAGCCGTTGACACGGTCGAAACCAACGCCATCGTCTGCGCTAGTCGACTAAGGAGTGGACCCAGCTTACGTGAGGACGCTAGCAGACTGCTACATATAAGGACTGTACAACGACGGCAACTACTTCGCCCCCTGATCTCCCAACTAGGAAGGGGGTCCGACAAGGCGACACAATCTCACCGAAGCTGTTCGCCGTGGCCTTGCAGTGGGTGAAGAAATCACTGGACTGGTACGGGAGAGGCATAAGAGTCGATGGAAGATCATCGAACCTTAGTTTTGCGGACGGCATCGTTCTCTTTTCGAGCAGCATCATTGAAGCAGATACGATGCTGAAGGAACTGAACGAAGTAGGGAAGATAGGACTGCGAATAAGTCGGAAGAAGACTCACTTTATGAAGAACGCCCTTTGCGAAGATCCAGAAATGGAATTAAAAGTTATGGAATTGAGTCCCTATCATGGAGACGCCTGCTCACGTGTATCTCGGACGTTCGATGAACATAAAGAACGACTTGAGGGAAAAAACAGGAGAAGAAGAGCAGCCTGGGCCTCCTTCGGGCCTCTGAAGGAAGCCACCGACCAACTGCCGGACTCGGAGCTTCGTGCCCACCTGTTCGTCTCAACCGTTCTCCCGGCGCTCTGTTACGCAGCTGAGATTTGGGCCGACACTGCGTCGAAAGCTTTACGCACCACCCACACAGAGCGCTCGAGCGCGGTTTTCCTCTGAAGATGACACGACATAAGCACCATCTAGTCGGACTTCGCAGCACGGATATGAGAGTAATGCCTTCGTGACCCAGCGGAAAACGCTGCAAAAGTGAATATCGATGAGCCGATCACATCATGAGAAGAGACGACAGATGGACACTAAATTCTTCGCAAAGCGAAAAGTCCCCAAAGAGACTTCCAACTGGTCAGACGTGTTCGTGGAACGCAAGGACCGATTGAAGAATCAATGGATGCGACTTTTGCCCCTGGATCACGTGGACGCAGCCATCGACGACAACCAAGAAGATCGTAGACGTGGAAGCGAGACACAGGGATAAATGGAAACTTCTGTGCTGGGGCCCTCACTTCACATGAAGTCGGGCCATCTGTGTATCTAAGTAAGAATAATAAATCGGTAATTGTATTCAACGCATCTTCTGAATGATGAATCACTTAGAAGTGCTTGATTTTGAAACCAGCTTGAAGAAGTTTTGCAGTCCACTATCTGCTGTTACAAGTCTAGAAGATACACCAATTCGTGAAGAAGTCTACGCAGAAGCCAGTACAATCGTAATGGGTTCAACTATCCTTATGGAATTCAGAATGTAATGCATTGTATTATGCTTTTTTGTTGTTGCAGTCGCAACTATTGCGGTTACCTAGTGATTGCCTAAACACGCACAATTTTGAGAAGCATGCCATGACTTTGATATCGTCGCCTCTCATAGCAGATCAGACGGAGCAATTGAAGACTCTATGGATCGATATCGTACCCTATCTCATTACACTAAAGTGGTTGCCAGGTGCGCAATTCCACAATGCCCCGCCCCGTCTACTCCGGAAGACGACGTTAACAACACCATATAAGCGGCTGAAAAAAACTGATCACTGGAGTAAAAACGTGAAGAGAACAACGCACGCACGGTCGAACGAATGTTTTACAGTTGTAATTTTTAGCTTGCTTTGTGCTGCGCATGGATGTCATCTTCATAAACGGTTTCGCTTTAGCAATCGTGTGTGACAGTCTGATATGAAATTCCTTGTGAAACTCCTGATATTGTCTTATTTTAAAAGTGAGAAAAAGTAAGACGAAAGGCTTGAAGATAACCATAGATTATGTGGTAAGAGCAAGAACTACGCCCTTCAATAGGTTATAACATTATGTTGTTCTCAGCGGGATATACCGATAATGACAGGAGAATATCATTACGATATGCTTGTGCTTCGAGACAATACAGGTGTCTCGATTTCCCACCGATAGCAGCCTTCAAGTTGCGCAGGTATTGTTATTTTTCACCACATTCAGTTCTGTGAGGGACGATGTGTCTCTACTGTTAGAATCTTTCGGTTGCGATATATAAAAATGAAGAAGAAAAAGAGCGAGAAAGGCGCTGATGTTCAGAAAGCCTGTTCCAGCAGTTGAATGCTTTAAGATTAATATATAGTTAGCCAGTTACACTCATTGTTTTATATGCTTATAACTTTGTCTTTTGTTCTTTACAGAATTTTATTGGAACCAAAGCGGTATTAGAAAAAAAATGAGAAATCTCAAAAACAAGTTGTACATACATGGGGGTAGGGGAACGAAAGCCGCCAGTTTAGGCCGCCTCCGCGGACTGCTGGTTCTGTAACGACATGCAACAACGCTGCAAAAAGAGCAGTTGGCCGCCAAAGACGTCTCAAACTGGCGGCTTTCGTTCCCCTACCCTGTCCATGGAGGCGATAGGCAGAGGAATGCGAAGGCGATATTGCTGACAGAACTACTATACCTAGCTTCTTCTCTCTAACATATGACAACAAGTTTTGATTTCTTGTAGTAAAAACCACATGATAAACTAGCAAAGAAACATAAAATTTTGGTGTTTTTTTTTCACTATTTAAACTATCCTGTTTCGGTGCTAAAAACTTAGTAAAAGTTTTAGACTTACAAGATTTGACTCCAGATAAGGAAATAATTGGTTGGCATCTGCTGAAACAGTATTATGCCTATACCTCCATTGGGATGTTATGCAGATCGGTGATGGTTTTTGCCACAATGCCTTCATTTGCCCGCAACACTCGCTCAATCTCTTCTTGCGAAATCGATGGGAACATCGTAGAAAGGCCTTGCACGGCCTAAAAATTCATTTTAGGCATCGCAGTCCAGAAATCAAAACTTGGTGCAGACATAAAAACAAGCTGTTGTTTATATTGAAAATTATTGAAATTGTTGAAGATAATCGTGTAGAAAGTATTTACTTCATCTGACTTCTTGATGCAGACTACGAAAAGATGGAAAGTAAAAACTTGTATCTAATGTTCCTGATTTTTTATACAAGGAAAACGAACCGTTTTAAAATCGAGGAAATCCTCTTTCGCCTCACCAGTCACGTTTGCGATTAGAGTCATAAAGTCTTTCTAAAATAGTATTTGGAGCACCAAAACAAAATCTTGCGTTTAGCATGAGCACAGTACAACTAAGGAAAACAGGAACATTAAGAGTAATCCTGCAAAAAGCAGAGGAAAGCAAATGTGGTTAATTTGAAGAAAACCTTATCTTATGAGATGTTATCTGAATACTGAAGACATTACCAAAATATTATGAAATATAACCCATGGACCTGAGGACATTCTGCTCACCATGATGAATATTCTCAGCGATTCGATAGTGTGTGCGACATATATACTCAGAACTCTGTGTGCTATGTGTGTTTGTGTGCGTAAGACAAAACACATTCTTCTTAAAGTGTCTAAAAGCACTATCTCAACAATTCCCTGGCCGAGCAAGTCACTGAAAATGCCTGCATTTAGGAGCCTCTTCAAATTCTTACATACAAAGCAGAATGTCTGTATGTGTGTGTGTCTTTGTCTGTATGTATGCGTGTATGTCTGTCTGTCTATACGCATGTTCCGAATAGGAAATTCCATTTCTCAACCGATCCGGACCAAACTTGGCACACATACACTTCGGGGCGGGGTGGGTGTCGTAGGCTACTTTTCATCATCCATCGATATCGACTTTATCGATTTCATCAACTTTTTTGCAATGTGGGCATGGGCACAGGGAAAGGTTGTGCAGGAATAAGGATGGGACTATCGTGTTGTTTTGACAGGGCCGGGCGGAGCCGGGTAAGCCAATAGTATGAAATAAAATGCTTCAGGCGTACGTCCGGATAGTATCTAATTGTAAGAAGCCAAATCCTTAATCCTTTATCGTTTAAGTGTGTGTGTTTCAACTGTGATGCTACTCTTACTCAGATTCTTCTTCTCCTATGTTTATTGCTCAAAATTGTTTTGAGAAATACTTTCTTATGGTTTGATTACGCTCTCCAAACATTCTCATTCCAAAGTCATTTTAGTTACTTTATGTCCCTTGCAAAAGCATGAGAAATGAGAGCTGGACATTTGCTTTGTATCAATTATATTCAAAGATAATCAGATAGTGACTTCCGCCTCCTATAATTAGAGTTTATAAAGTACAGATTGCACCAATCTTCTCTATAATTAGAGTTTATAAAGTACAGACTACACCAATCTTCTCAGAGCATTCTTTTTGTATGCGCTAAGGTCACAAGATTTGAAATGATGCTGAAGCAAATATAGTGTGGACCCCGGCCAGGTTCCCATAGGTATCGCCGCGGCGCATGCGCAGCGCGCTGTCTTCCTGCTGCCTTTTGCTTTGTCAGTGAATCTAATGCACTGCTCACCAGGATATCGAGTGAGAGCGACCTCGTTATGGTTTGCAGACTTTGTGCGAGCCTGATGAGCATAACAAAACCCAAACATTCTACCTCAAACACAAGCGCATTTGATTTAACGAAGATCGAAAGGCAGCGGAACCTCTCTAAGGCAGAGACGATAGAAGCACCAACCAAAATAGACACAGATATTCGTTTTTTGTAGAAGAGATTTGAACGAAAGATCCTCTCGAGACTACTCAAACACCGACATTTAGCGAAGAGAAAACGTAAGAACAAACAACGCTCTCTTCTAACGTTGAAGTTATGGTCCATTGTCTTGATCGGCCATACCTGGAATAGAAAAATTATGAAGAAACAACGATAAACAAGAGAGGAAAACAAAAAACAATCATTTTAAACCCAAGAAGAAAGCTCGTCGAAGGCAGCAGAGGCGTGCGCTGCGTGCGCGTCGCGTTGGTACCTATGGGAACCTGGCCGGGGTCCACACTATAACAAGATGATTAGTGTGTTCAGATTGAGTAGCAAAGCGACCGGCACCTCCTGACCAAATAACCTAGAAAACACTTGAGATCATCACGATGAGCGTAACACCCACTTTTTTGCATTCGTGATATGCAAGAAAAAAAACAAAAAAGTGAGTGTTGCTTCATCACAATTTCGAAGGGCCACTGAGCAAGTAGTCGTTTGCTGGCAAGGAGAAGTAAGCTCTATGGAATTAGAACCACTGTACATGTTGAAGGAGGTTGAGTAACTAGCAAGGGTAATGGCCCTGAAGAATGCATGTAACGTGAAAACTCTCGTGTGACAATAAGATCATCCAAACCTGTATAGTGGTAGGTGAAGGCGTTTGAAAATGGTGGCAAAGAAAAGCAGATCGCTACTATAGTTATGACCGAATATTCGTATTGAATAATTTATTCGAAATATTCGACTAGTCAAATATTCGAATAGTCGAATATTTGAGAAATTTCGATAATTCGATTATTCGATAATCGAATAAATGAAAAAGGTCTTTATCCGACTAATTCGTTTATTCGACAAATTGGAAAAATAACTTATTCGAATATTCGGTTATTCGGGGATTTTTGAGAACCTTTATTCGAATATTCGAATATTCGACTATTGCGTTTGAACATTCGAATATTGCACGCAAATATTCGAAGATTGCATTCGAATATTCGATGATATCCAATCATTCGATTATTCGAATAGTCGAATATTCAACCAAGTTGAGTTATTCGAATATTCGTTCATTCGAACTTTGGAATGTTGCCATATTCGGATATGCGAATTCGAATACTGTAAAAATCGGAGATCGAGTAATATTCGTTCACTCGATTTTTCGAAAAACAATTATTTGATGTTCATTCGCTCGAAAAATTTTTAAAAATGAATTATTCGAAATTCGTTCATTCAAAGAAAATTTCCGTTCGTTACAACTATAATCTCTACAGTACTAGGATGCTCAAAAGCTTTCCTTTGTTGCTTTCTTCTCCACCATATGGGGCTGTTAGTGGCGCAAAAAATTATTTCGTATTCTGATTAGATGTTAAGTCGTTCCGAAAGTTTTTTCTCCATTTTTGGATCAATCATAAAAACCCGCGCGGAATGAGGGTAACAAAGATTTTGAAAAACTCGATGCAGTTTCTTCTTTTCTCTCAATGGTTATGCTTCGGGCTCTTTTCCTCTGTTGATACTAAGGTAATCGTCAAGGTTTCAGACCCATCGTTCTCACCATGACCAAGTTGACCTTTTTTTCAAAATTTTCATTTTGAAGTTCTGAAAGAGCTTTATAGACAGGTGGGTAAAGTAAACAAAGCGCAGTACAATAAATTTTTTTGCTAGCTCCATCTGACTTTTCAAGATTTCTCAGATTTTATCTCTTATGTTAACAATTTTTACATTTGGCTAGGCCAAACCTCATAAAACATCAACCGACGAGTAACTTGGGCGTTACTCGATGCAGCTTTTCTCCTTTTTTGTCAGTTGTTCTTTCATTCCGAATTGTTGAACTTTCGTCGATGAAGTAAACAGGATGGATTGTAAATAGAGGCGCAAATAGGCTGTATCCTAAATAAAACTCGTTATTTCGAAGTAATGAATCTCATTTGCCTCAACAGTTGGTTGTTGTTGAAAGGAAATGGACTATTGAAGTTCGAAAATTTCTGGAACTTTTGAATCTCGAAGATTTTTTTTTAGTTTAATGCGTCCGTCTATCATATGACTTTTCAAAAATTGAAGACTGAAAAATCATTCTAAGAAATACTGAAAGTGAGGCTGAGGAGCCAAAAACGCTACTATATTTCACTTTTTCACTCTATCGGTTTATTATCGAAGCTCCTCCAGAAGATCAAAATGGAAATTTTGAGAAATTGTCAAGCTCAGGCGTGACAAAACTACGGATTCAAAATTTTGGCAATTATTTTGATATCCACAAAAGTAAATAGCCCGGAAACATTATGCTGGAATGAAAAAGAAGAGTTGCATCAGATAGTTCTTGAAGTTATTGCTCACCTTTATTCTAGATTTACGAGATAATTGGAATAAACTTTTGGAAAGACCTAATATATTCTGCAAGATGTGAGAAGGCATACGATTTGCGCGCAAAAGCGGTAAACGCTCCTGAATTGTAAACTCTCTAGTCTGCAACCGCTGTTCTTTCATCTTTGTTTGTCAAGTGAGGGCACGAACTGCCGTCCAGCTTTCAATCCTAACGTTATTGAGAAATAATCTGTATTTCTACCTATCTCTGTTGGAAGAGAATCAGCATTTTTATTCGAAAGGGTATGATATAACAAATTAGCTGACATCAACCGAAAAAATGTCGTCGGATTGTGGTCAAGTTGTTTGGCTAATCGCAAATACTTTAAAGGCAGTGTCCAGGCAAATCTGAGAGCATGGGCTTCTCGCCTAGAAACTGATGAGGGGGTCCTAACTAAGGCACTGCCCAAACCGAAGACCGAAGAAATTCATTCACGGCTCAGAAGTCCGTCTTACCTTCGCGCCAGCGCCGTGACCGTAAACCGAAAACGACTCCGCTCACCTTAAAGGCAGCGTCCAGGCAGTCTGGACACATGGGGACCTCACGTGCATAGTAATTTTGGTGCCCTAATTAAGCCACTGCCCAACCAGCAGCTCAGGTAGTGCTCTAACGGCTGAGACATTCTCCTCGAAGCTGGGTCCCGCGATCGTATTTCGCATAGATTCATGGCGCAAAGCGTGGATCCTGGCGCGAAAATGCCTTCGAAAAATCGCTTTTCTTTTCACGATTTCCGCTGGAAAAGTGATGTGCCGGCCCTAATCAGACAGATGTATATGCCTTTTTGCAGTAACACCTAGGAGAGGGAATTTTCACTGTTGGTCTGTTTTCGGACTTCCTGTAAAAGCCAAAACATTTCAACTTTTTTTGCTGATCATCGAGTAAAGATACATTTTACCTTCAACCAAGCGACATCAGCTGGTGACGCCTGACAATGCAAAAGAGCAAGAGAAACAGTCAGAGTTAATTGCAGCAAAATATTAGGTAACAAAAAATTCACTTTTTTAGGTGTTATTGCAAAAACGGCATGTACATCTATCTGATTAAGGCCGGCCCATCACTTTTTCAGCGGAAATCCTGACAAGAGAAGCGAAATCAAAAGAACTAGCCAAGAAACGATCTGATGGGCTGCGAAATCAGCTGATGACGACTGCCAAAGCGCCAGGTATGAACGCCCGCCAGGTCGTGCACGGGTGCAAAGCGTGCGCACCAAACTAATGCTTCGCGGAAAACACCAAAGCGAATTGATACCGATGATACATGAGTCATGACTTACTTGTTAGTCTAGAATGTACGATGTGACAAAATCCTTACAAAGGACTTTGAGGAAGCATATGGCAACGCAGTGAAAGGCAACAGATTGATTTCAAATATAATCAGCTAGTAACTGTTTGTCCTTACAGTGTATGACGATGTAAAACTTTAATAAACTTATATATTTGTACGAATCTTAATTCAGAACAATCAGACTCCTCATGAATTTACTTCCGTCAGCCAAAAATCACTGCTCTTACATTTATCATACTGGTACCTGATTTATCTATACTTGATAGTTTTTCGTGATCAACTGCCTTCGAAATGGTGAGCTTGGCCATTACAAAAGTCAAGGAAATTGGTTAAGTTTATTGCTTTTGCCTCTCGTATCTATAAAAGCTGTGTAAAGTTACTGTTGAGGTTCAGATGCTGAATCCAGCAGTTTGAATACACTTTTATGGATTTTCACTGAGCTTTTGGTAGACAACATTTTTGTAAGTCAAAGTACAAGTAACCCAGTTCATTGTGCCACATATTCGCGGTGTGAAATGTGATCCTCTACTTATTTCTTTTTAGCATAAGAGAGAGATGCATGATAGATGTAGCGATTGTTTATGAGACACGAGACAAAGTTTAAGGCTGGATAAGAAAGGGAAAGATCAACAGAAATGCTTTCTGATAATGAGATAGTGCAAAACAAAAGAGAGCAATTGCAGCCTAGGAAGACAAGTAAAGAAAGTAATGCGCGAGTAACATTGTAATGTATTAAAATTGAAGATGAGGCAGCAGCGAAACCAAAAGTGACGCAAGGCCGATCTCCCTTGCCTCACATCTAATTTTTCTGGTGCGATCAAGGGCAGGATATGGCTTCCAGTTGGTAGCCACAATACAGCGTTACGAATTAAGGCTGCCTTCTCATAGCATATATGCGGCCCGCTCACAGAAATTCTGCATTCGCATCCTCCTCGTTTCCCGGTCGCTGCCAGCCTAACGGAGTCGCTATCTCTTCGCTGCCTTCTGGCTGCTTTTGTAGCAATGAATGCGCTCTGTAGCTATTTTCTGACTCATGGAAGACTATAGCTGCCCGTTGGTAGCCCGTCGCTGCCCGCTAACCGCCACTTTTGCAGTATCGTCGCCCGCTTACTGTTATTTATCGTTGCCTCACTACAGCTCAGATAATCGCCGGAAGCAGGCGGTCCTCAAACTTGCGCTTTTCTGCAAGCGGTCAGCAGAATTTTGGGGCGTGGCCAACTTTCAGCGGGCGGCGCTCCCTTTACGGTCTCATATTCTGCCAGCGGCCAGCAATATAGCATTTTCTGCAAGCGCTCGACAATTAATTTTTTTCAACGTTCGCTGGCCAAACTTTTAGCAAGCGCTCGGACTCTTACGCAGTTTCGGGCGTACGCCGAGCAAAGGTGAGACCCTACGTGGCAGAAGTATCATCGTCGGTTTAATTACCCGAATTTGAGGTACCTTCTCTCAGCGGAAGGTACTCTGGGCAGTGCGGCGGTCCTCCACAAAGGACCGTGCGGCCCCCAACAATTTTGCATCTCGCGGAAAGTTCACGGGAATACAGCCACTGTGCGCAACTTATCCATAAAAAGACCGCAGTTCTTCAAGCGTTCGTCTAGAAACTGGCCAAAATTATCCCAAATGTTTGCAAGCGGACCGCAAGAAATCAGCGAACTATTTTTCCGGTGCCCGCTTGCTCGAAATTCGTATGCGGCTGCCCTCGGCGAATATCTGGGAGCCTCTGATTGTCTGAGGCTGGGTTCATACTGATTCCCATGTTCCGGAACTATTCCCGCACAGTCCCCGCAATGTGCACTGTGCTGCATGCACTGCAGCCGCCCCGCATGCGTTATGAACGGCAGAAGTTGGAGAATTTTGACCGTTTTTAACGTTTTCAATTTTCCTTCAGATTTCTCTCATTTTGGCCTTATTCCTCTAACCCTCTTCCCTTTTTAAGCAGAATTTCGAACTCGAAGCAGGTTTGAAAAATGAACGCTTTTCTGCTCTGCGTATGCGACAAACGTGTGTTCTTGTGCTAGTCCATTTTCTTACCGCTTTATTTTTACTCAGACCTATTCCATTTGTTATAGGAAGCCGCTGCGTAGTTTCCATAGCCATCTGCCACGAATTAGGTAGTGCGGGCAAATCTGAAATTGCATAAATTGAGACTTTTCTCTTGTTCTGTGATGAGTTTCCTTTTTGGGCATTCTCACCCCTTTCCTTTCTCCATATCGTTGCTTCTCCGTTCTTTCTTCTACCTGGCTTTTCCTTGTGATGAAAAAAGCTGTGAAATTGAAGCGGGATTGAAGAAATAGCTTGTTCTGTTCCATTATTCGGACAGATTGGTCTTCATGTGCTCTTCCATTTTCTCTTTGATTTTTATTCATGCCTACTTCATGTGTTCTAGAAGCCTGTCTATGTCCCTTTCAATACAGATGCGAGATTACATAGCACCTTCCTAGAACACATGAAGTAGGTCTGAACAAAAATCAACGAGAAAATGGACAAGCGCACGAGGGCTCATCTTCGCGAGTACATCGAGTAGAACAGCGTTCAATCCTCAACCCCGCTTCAAAGTCACAGCTTTTCTCATCACAAGAAGAAGCGGGGTAGGAGAAAGAACGAATAAGCAACGATGTGGAAAAAGAAAAGGGGCTGAGAATGCCCAAAAACGTTTATCAGAAAACAAGAGAAAAATCTTAATTTATGCAATTTCAGAATTGTCCGCTCCCTAATGCGTGGCGGATTGCTATGGAAACTGTGATGACTTACCACTCTTATGGTGAAGTCTAAGAAGTGGTGGCTGACCAGTCTTATGGAAAGCCGGTAATTGGAGTTTGGTGAATCCTGTGTGTTACAGTACACATTAGCTTATACAAACTTTACTGAAACATCAACATACCCTCATTCGGGCAGTGGTAGAATGCTGCTCCTGATAGGCGGAAAAGTAAGTAAAACGTATCAATACAACTATATTACTCAAGATCGCGAGTTGGTGACCTCAAGCTACTTAGGATTCCAAACTTAGGAGGAGCGATAAGATTGTGAGAGTGCCGACGATATCGGCACAGAAACTACGCAGCGGCTTCATGGAACAAATGGATTAGGTCTGAGTAAAAATGAAGCGAAGAGAAAATGGACGAGCACAAGCACACACGTTTCGTCGCATACAGTAGAAAAGCGCTCATTCTTCAACCCCGCTTCGAGTTCGAAGTTCTGCTGACCAAAAAGCGAAGCGGGTTAGAGGAACAAGGCCAAATTAGGATAAATTGGAAAAAAACCGGAATTTGGTAAAACTCTCCAACTCCCGCCGTTCAAAACGTATGCGAAGCTGCTGCAGCGCATGCAGCACAGTGTGGGATCTGTGCGGGAACAGTTCCGGAACATGGGAATCAGTGTGAACCCAGCCTGAGCAGCGGTCCTGCGTCTCTGCCTTGGAAATGTTTCACTCGTGCGAATTTGAAACATAGCGCTTTTGTAAAGCCTGTTCTCATCGCTTTAGCGCTTTAGAATGCGATTTTCTAATTCACTGTGATGGATAAAGGTAAGCTAATAAGGTGAAGATTCAGATTTTGCCCTGAAACTGCCTTCGTCAGTGCTAAAGTTTGACATTTACCAGATCTTTACGATTTCATCATGCACAATTTTATATGCATGGTCGAACAGCTTTTGTATATTGTCACAGACGCATCAAGCCTTGCGCAAAGCGTCTTTACGCTTAACACATTGACGACCATGCAGATTTTTAGTTGTCTGCCTTTTGAGACCAAGGCCTTTCTACGAACCAGCCCACTTTTTCAAATACAATTACGCATACTGCCATCTACAGTGCACCTACAATAGATCTGAGAGGCTGTCAAAAAAGGTAAAAGTCATCCCTAGATTCTGCGCAAAGGAAAGCTCATGAAGTGAGTTTATTTCAGGTTAGTAGTCATTTTACCAAAACTCAAGCCTTGACACACATGGTGTGTCAAGCGGTCCCACGCGGTAGTCATTGCTTGACACACCATGTGTGTCAAGCTGTCGTCAATGTGTTAATGTTGAAAAGTTGTCGCTTACCGAATGCGCATTGACTGAAGTCGCGTGGGGTATGCCCTGAAACTAAGGGTAGAGGCTAACGTCCAGACTGTGTCAAGTAAATGGAGGAGGACAACAATAAAATTTTTACAAATTTAACTCTGATTGTATTTTGACATTGGAAGTGAAAACAATTCAACTACTATGGAAGTTCAATGACATGCCAGCCGTCGAGGCGTTGGATCAATAAATTTTTAGAAACTGAAATAAGTCATGAGTGCAGTGTCTGATGTAAAAGTCGCTTCTATTTAATACTTCTTGCAATATTTCTGCGATAACGCCAAATGACTGCAGTGATCACGCAAACCCACTTGTACTACTGAGATAGTCTTATCATTTAGACATTGCACAATGTTTTCAGCCCGGTAATTTGATACATTTGGTCAACCGCTCTTCAAGATCATATTAACTGCGCTTTTACGATTATGACATAAGCTCAACAACAACAGTTGAGATTGATATATGACGCTCGCGTCTGCTTTGACGTGATTTACTGGGTTGCCTCATAGGTCTTTCTTGTTGTCACATCACAATAAATCACATGCGTTCCACGGTACTTTTTGATAGAGCAAAACAAGATCTACAAGGTAGCAACAAAACATGCAACGTTTGTCTACTGAAAGTATGAAGCCAAGATCTAAAAATAATCGAAAAATCAAGAAAAGTCTTGTCATTATTCAAAAAAATTAATGGACTTCAAGCTTTCTCAACAAACACTCCCCACACTTGGCATTTATTTATACATTTTCGGATTTTCCATTGCTGGGACTTGAGAAAAAAACAATCATGTTTTTGTTAATGTTGTGCTGAGCTGTTCTCAAATAGGTAGTTTCGCAGTGTCTCATAAGGGAAGGATACGAGGTTGCAGGAAAAACCGAATATGCTTATCATTAGATGTGTCTTGACAAGCTGATTCCAAATCGACCTTCCTTATCTACTAAGCGTTTCTATACAAGAAGCTATGGTCAGTTAGAGGTGTGAAGTTATCCTTGGATTTTGATATGTTTTGGCAACCAGCATGGAAGTTATCAATTGTCATAGTTCTCATTGACTGCAAGGAATGCATACATACAATGAATATATAGATAAGTTTTTTTGAACAATTCGTTCCTAAAGATGTGATACTGAATGTTTGCCAAATCTGAATGTTTAAACGCTCATAACTTTTTTTTGGAGAAGAGTTTAGCAGATTTGGAAACTAGATTTGGAACAAACTCACCACGACTCATCTAATGATATGCACATCATTTCGGTTCGCCACTGCGACCTGGTATCCTTCCCTTGTAGGTACCATAAATCTACCCTGTATATTTACGGATTTTCAGCTTTCGTTGTTAGTTACCTCCATTTTTCATATCCAACTTTCGATAATTTTCAGAATTTTCGTTTTAGACTTTTGAAGGTGGTCTAATACCGCCTGACAGAACAAACCTTTTGCAAATCAATGCAATTTTTTGCATCTTCCTGGCATTTTCTAGGAACTTCGAACGCTTGTGAGACCAAGTATGTAAGGATATCTAAATGCCATTGCCATCTTTACCGCTTGTTTACTCTACCGGGAGGTACAGCGGAAATATCTACTAGCAAGAAAGAAAGGACCTATATCAGAAAGTGAGAAACGGAAAGAATCGTACTCGTATATAATGAAACCGACCTATGAGTGCATACGATATTTTCCGTGCATCTCGCACGCGAGCAACCATTGTCTTTGTCAAAGTTTACGAGGTGGATGCTTTTAGTTCTTTCCAGAATCATTCCAGCGCAGCTGCAAATCGTTTCAGAAGCCATACTCTTTTGAACATATTGGTTATGGTTTGATGACCAAAACCAATGCGGACACTGTTATGATCACCCTTCCAGATGTTGTCAGTTCCTTATGAAACTGAATGCAATGTTGGACCGGTAGTGATCTACCCTACCTGGTGGCATCAGAGATGCCGGCAAGTTGGCACACATCGCGGGAAGTTGCCAATTCCAGCTCGCGGACTGACCACAGGCAGAGGCGCCGCAAAAGCTTTGCGTTGCGCCCGCTCGAACTTCTGTGTACCGGCCTCGAGCGCCGGCACATTAACCGATCGACCACACGTACATGCTCATCGCATGATGCATGCATGTGGTATAACTAGGCCTGAGTTTCCCACACCTTCGTATTTGGAACCCTTAGGCAGTAACTTATCGCTTAATCGGTGCGTCACCTTTGCTTCGCAGAGGCTCGCACTGGTTTTATTACACATACCTTCCTTGCGTTTGCTTGATGACGACTTTGAAACTCATCGAGGGCTGCCGATCATCGAATAAAACGTAAGCAACCATTTCCTAAAGCTTTTCAATAAGATCGGTAGCTTTAAGAGGAAGAATTTTCGCAAAGGATTTGAATGCGAGGTTGAGTTAACTGGAATTACTATGATTTTGATAATTGCCATAAGAACAATGATTACCGCGGAATACATCTCAGCGCAATAAATTTCTAGGTAAGACAATTTCTTTTTTGGCGCCACATTTACGTAGAAAGAATGTTTACTTTTTGGTCTGTATAGATAAATGGCAGGACATTGATTTTAATAAAATTAAAATTTAGAGGAAAGTTAATCTTACTGCATGTTACCGTAACACCGTAGAGTACTGCAAATTAGTAGCCTGTTTTTTCCGAATCTCTATTTTTGAATCTCTGCCAAGCAAATAAAGGGAAAAGCAGAATTGATGCATTCTCGCTAACTAATCAACTTTACCTAGTCTTACATAAGTCAATTTCTTAATGGCAAAAACAGATATTTTTTCCTCTTTGCTGATTATGTTCGTTTCTATAGTTTCTGTTGCAACCAGTGTAGTGGAAGCAATTCCTAAGTAAAAACAGATCAGAACTACGTGTTTAAGAAACAAATACAATCTCCAGCTATACATGGCCATTATATTTAGGACATACTACGAACTATTACCAATATGATGAGGTGCTCAACAATGAGTGGATGAGAAGCACTTAGAGGTGTGAAGAAAAAGCAAGAATGGAGTCTGGAATTGCCTGCTAAACCGCAATAACGGTTTCCAGCTTTATTCAAAGATGTAACTATACCGTGTGAAACGCTTTCGGAAACTCGAAAAAAGTTGTTTAGTGAAAGTACCATGTCTGAAAACACTACTAAGCAACTTCCAAATTTATTTTGGTTCTTCATTGGAGTTCCTCAAACGCACATTTTACGATGATGCCGTAAACTGGAAGTTTCGGTAATTTTCGTAGTTTCGGTAGTTTCCATAATCCTACAGTAATAAAGAGCGATGGATGATTTGCTCTATACTGTGAATTCAAGCTGAAGCCTACTCAATGACTGCTAATTGGAGCTAAGTAAAGGTTTTGTAGGAAGAGTGATATTAGCAATTGAAAAGTGTGTACTTACTTTTCGGGTACCCCGGAAAACGCAAAAGAACTACTTTCTTTCTTAATCGGCTTTTGACTAAAATTTTAATATCATCCGTTTCTGCCATGAACTGAGGAAGGCAGTAGCTTGTGCGCATGGCGCATGTAGTTAAATGGTCTCCTTTACATGCTTGTGACAAAGCTACTCCACACCTCAATCACAGTTCTAGAAAACTAACTAAAAATCCATAACATTATGTATCCTCTTCCGCAATTTTCTATTTGTGCGCAATCCGCATAAATGCTACGTTGGGTTCGCTTCGAATTTGCAAAGGAACTTCGGAATATTTGGCTATCACAGACAATTTCCTAAGGCCGGCACGACTGAGAGACTATTGACAAAAGCACAGAATAAGCTGGAGTAATCCGTAACCTCGAAAACCCCAATCCAAGCAAAATAAATAACATCAACATTTTATCTGTCCTCGTCCCGAGTTAAGCATAAGCTGTATGTGCCTATTACAGTTTGCTTTGCAGAACTAAATGCCCATATTGATCAATGGAATGAAGTATTCTTGTTTTAGTGGCGTACCCTGGATTTCCGTTTGGGAGGGGGTAGGGGGACATAAATGTTTTTCTGATGAAGGTGCGTGGCGTTAATCACACACTCCAAATATTTTTCGTTTTGCTTCCCAAACTTTTTGCGGGCGCCTAACCCCGATTTCTAAAAAAAGGAAGTGTAGCGCCAGCCATGCCTCCGAAAAAAATTTTTTGTAAGACTAAGCTGAATTTTTTTTTAAATTTGAGAAAGTATTTTGATTATAAGTAAAAACAATTCACTTGCACATTTTTGAACCCATATAAGCAACTTTCAAACATTTCGCGACCCATTCTCCGGGGACGGAGTCCTTCCCGCCACCATCGTATGCATCATCGCAAACACAGAGAGAACACCCTTGATGCACTAACGGAAGCGCTTCATTGTCTTACAAGTAACTCGTACTGACTTCCATCTTGCATGCTTGTGAAAGGACTTCTTACATGTTTTGAGAGATAAAGGAAAAATCTACAGTATAAGCGTGTCAAAAATTAGCAGCTTCGAACACCTCTGCAAATGCTACAGTTTACGCAAGTCAACTAGATACGCTGAGCTTAATTCATCCTCAATCTTTTTGTGTCTCGATACGAGACAAAATGTGAGGACACTGCTTCGTTGTTATCCGAAGATCAACACCGCTCTCAGAAGAGTGCAAGATTTGCGTGAATGTCGCGAATTCCGGGGATTTCGCGAAAGTCCGCGAAATTCCCGGAATTCCTCAATATCCCCGGACATTTTGCACATTCTGAGAGCAATATTGTACCTTTGTGAGCATAATTTTTCAAAGTGTGCAAGCTCAAGAGGTAGGTATCGAAGCCTATTGCTCACTCACTGACACTTGCTTAGAATGGTGCTTGAAAAAAGCGTATGTATTTGAGTTCTCTAAATTCTTCAATAACACATCATTCATTTAATGGGTTGAAAGAAAAAATGTGGTTTTTTCATATCAAAGCAACAAGACGAATCCAAAATATGCGAGGGGACCAAAAAGGGCAAGACAAGCTCCGCAGACCTTCAAAAATTGGCGTAAGTCGTGATTCACGCAAAGCTCAAAGCTAA